GTTGAAGCGGAGGCCACTCCCTTTTTTTTGCTCTTAGAGAAGGTCACCTGGGAGCAGAGGAAAGTTGTTCTTTCCTGGGAAACAACTTAAGGGGAAGCCAAGGGTGGCAGCACTTAAAAACTGTATTTGGGGCTCTCACAGCCTCTCACCAACCAAACTAGGCCATCCTGCCTGTTTGTTTCTTACTCTTTATCTACTACCCCAAGGAGTCTGAGAGAGAAACCTCCCCTCAGACCTGGGAAATTGGTGTGAAAATCGATCCATCTGCAGCTTGACTCTAGTTTCTGGAAATACAAGTTCTAATTCTTATTTTGAGGACTGGTGTTTATAACGGCTCATTTTGTAAACTGGTAAAACTTTTCAGTGACCATTTTGCCAACAGTTCTTAAAAGTTTAAACGTGTACACTTTGAACTAACAGTTCAACACCTAGGAGTTTATCTCACAAAAATCCCTCCACGTGTGAAACAAGAAATATATGTTAGGATAGTCACTGTAGCTCTCCTAACGGTAAAAAATTAAGTATGATAACAAGTCCATCTTAAGGGATTCGATGAATATATGACTGTATCTACAGGCAGACAATGGAATATGGTTTTTTAAAAAGAGGTGGCCCAACACGGACTCACCTGGGAAAAATATCCTTGATATGGGAACCAAAAACAACAAGTTGAAAAATCGTACGTATACTTTAATCTACTTTTCTTTAAAACAAGGTTTCTCAGCCTTGGCTCGACTGGCATTTGAGCGGTAGCTCTTTGCTGTAGGGCCGCCCTGTGCGCTGCAGACTGCTTCACAGCTACCCTGACCTTCACCCACTAAATTCCAGTAGCAACCTTCCCTGCAATTATGACGACCAATGGTGTTTTCAGACACTGCCAGAAGTCCCCTGGGGGGGGGCGGAGTTAGGGACAAAACTGCCCCCAGTGGGAACTAATGGTTTAAAATGATGATAGACAACTTAGGTTTGCGCACCATAGAGAAACGTCTGGAAGGATACTCACTAAGTTGTTAACTGCTGGGACCCAAAAATGGTCAGGAAAAACAACACTCTTTTTATTTTACACGCCTCTGTTCTGCCTGATTATAAGTATATATTTTCTTCTGTAATTAAGTAGGAAATCTGTTTCTATTCCACTCCCACTCATGAACATATTCATATACAAAGAAAATAAAGAGAATAGCTTATTTCGAGAGATAGTCTATCAGGATTCTCTTTTTTGTTTGTTTGTTTGTTTTTAGGTTGTTTTTTATTATTTTTCAATTATACTTGATATTCAATATCACTTTATATTAGTTTCAGGTATACAGCACAGTGGTTAGACATTTATATAATTTATGACATGATCCCTCCGATAAGGTGAGTGAGTACCCACCTGGCACCATAAAAAATGCTGACAATATTACTAGCTATATTCCCTATGCTGTACTTTACATCCCGAAGATTTTCTCTGGAAAAGAGCGATGGGTGGGCTATACCTGCAAAGGGAAGTCCTTTGAGAGAACTCAATAATGAGACATGATGGTATAAGCAGAGCACATCAGTTGATCATATAGAGTCTCACCAAGGCCTGTGGTGAGAACTGTCTGAGAGACTGTGAACGACATGGGAAACGTGAAATTCTAGCCTCTAGTGAGGACTAGTGTATCGCACCCTATGCTTCAAATCCTTCACCTGCTCAAAGGAGCATCTACCTTTCCGCAAAGACTTTAGGACAGGTCATTGAAGCAGTAGCTGTGATCAGATTTGGCACTACATAAATAAAAGATGGAATTCTTATTAATATTTGCTTTAATTTTTTTAAACCCATTTTTTAAAACAAGTGTCTAGTCCAATTTGGGCACTTCAGAGTTTAGAGAATCCCAGAATGCTTGGATTTCTCGTTAATGTTGAAAGAATTTCCTCTAGGGAGATGTTCCCAATTCATTGATATACTCATGAGGAAAACAATAAAGCTTTTTTTTTTTCCCCCTGTTTTATTTTTCTAGATGATAGACTGCTCTGGTAAACAGTTGAGATTTCTTGAGAAATTACAAGGCAAACTTCCATAGCCAATTTTTATGATGTTTTCTTATTGCCACATCTTCTAGAAGGAAAAACCAAACTAAAACTTAAAGAAAATAATCAAACATTTGGACCCTACATTGGTGTCAGCCAGCAAATGACATATCAGATATCTACAACTAAGATCTTCACACAGTTACAACCTTCAACAGGAGGCTAAGAGAATTATGGGCTTTGAACAACATTTTGAAAAGTGGCTAGGGAGAATTCTCTTGTTTATCTACGCTGGTATTTTGAGACAGAAATTCATTTGAGACAGTTTTTGAATGAAATTATGAATCAGTTCATAATGACATAACTTACATTCTTTCTCATTATGTTTGTTTTGTTTTTCTGAAAGAATGACAATGTTGAAAAGTCCATTTCTGGCTCACAAGCTACCCATAAATGTTTTAGTCACAACTTTTGGACCCATTTCTTTTTTCTCCTTGATTTGACTCAGCTTCATAAAGGCATTTTAGTTTATTTGGTGATGTTTTACTTCTATACAATTTTGCCTTTTGTTTATTGAAGGCCTAATTGTGCAGTTACTTCATCGAGAAATTAAATCTCCTCTTTTTTTTGTTTCTCCCTCTGAATCTAAAGAGTAAAACTCAGTACTTGCTATTGTCAAGACTCCAGAGTCACTCTACAAACAAATTCTTGAAACAAAGAGAAAGGAAACTTTCTCTTCTCTGCCTTGTACACAACACAGCTCATACAAGGCAGGAGCCACAAAACGACTTCATTCACTAAGCATCTGGCATAATCACACTCAGGTCAGCTATGCCAAACCAAAGCAAGGAATGATCTTAGTAGAACATTCAAGGACGCTCAAGGACACTCAAGGACATACTACTGAAACCATGACTTCCATCTGCATTGTTTGCAAGGAAAATTCATGAAATTGACTTAAAAATGTATGGACTTTATAGAATGCTGTCAGATCAGGCCCTTTATAGGATGACCCCAAAGTATCTGTGCGTGCTAATGAGAAGTGACTGGAACGGACACTGTTGCTGCTCTGTCCTCAGATACCTTTTCATTCTTTTTGTGGGCCCAGTTCCCCTCCCCACCCCAGGTCTATACTGTTTTACTTCCAATGGCTGGCACCTACCATCTCTCCAACTTCTCAAGGGCTCCTGGAACCACTGGGCCCACGAGCATAGAGAGGCAGGCGTGTCCTTCTACTCACCCAGGGCAGCCTTCAGTCAGCCTCTGACTGCAGTGGGATATAAAAGCTCAGCTCTCTTGCTTTAAAGCCAGGACACTCTCTGAGATATAATTTACATTCTATTTCTCACTGGTGCTTGACACTGAGGCTGGGATTTTGCCTGAAATCTCGCCTTGCTCCCTTCTCTTCCCAGTCCAGCTTCCTCATTCCTTTACCAGCTCCTCCTGGTGCTATGCCCTGAATAAATCACCTGCACACACATTCACATCTCAGAATCCACTTCAAAAAACTCTACCTCGGTCATTCTCCGTCCTCCTTTGCTTTCCCCCACATTTTGATTCTTGTTCTTCTATACATCTCATTCCATGCTGATAGCTGCAGTCCGTGACACCTGTTTTAGGTCTTACACTTCTGTTAGGACACATGTCATAAGCAGGGGCTTGGTTAGCAGAGACCCTTAATAAATTATTTATGGTCATAGCGTTTAAGTTCTCTGCTAAAGGCACAGTCCTGGGCACCACACAGCTGGGCTGGACAGCCCTGTTGCTACCACATGCAGTGGTTGGCACGTACTCTTCCCAAGGGCAGATGCTCTGTCAGACACATGTTTAGACTCAGCAGGTTTGGATTTCTCTCCCTCTATGGCTGAAGTTTGAATCCAGTATCAGTGAATCCTGCCCTGCCTTTCAAGAACACGAATTAGAAACTCCTGTGTGCTTTGGAGTGAGTTGTTTCTTTGAGTTAGTTTCCTCTTCTTCCTGCTGTTTGGTTGACCCCAGGTGACTAAGGGTTACTAGAGTTCTGTTTTGGACTTCTGTCTGCAAGAACTAGAGAATGTGGATGATTCAATAGGACAGCCAAGATATGCCTCAGGAAAGAGGTGATGGGGGACTTGAGTGGTGCCAGCAGAAGGAGAGCTGTCCTAGAGACTCGATGGCCATCGAAATCCTTAGTTGGAAGATTTCTTTTCTCTGATTCCTCTGTTCTGTACCACCTTCCAGTACTTTCACTCCAGGCCTGCTCAAGAACCACTAGAGAAGCATGGAGCTTACCTCACTAATTCAGGATCAGCTCCTTCAGAGAAAAATAAGATAGGCTTTTACCTGCATTTCCACAGAACACAGTACACTGCAGTCCCTCAAAACACATTGGTTTGCTTGGCTGTGATTCACCTAACCTGGTCCCACGTTTGCAGGGTGATCATGCAATTTGTCATCTAATTCAGGAAACTTTTGACTATGAAAAAGCATGCTGTCAATAATTATTCCCAGACAAAATGCAAAAACTAGGACTGTCCCTGGGGACTGGGACTCTTGGTCATTCTACATAACTGTGTAGGGATTCTGGCTGCACAGCACCACGCTGGAGTCTGAATGGTGCTGTGGAACAAGCTACAAATCAGTTGTGGGGATGGGCAGGGAGTTCAGACTGAACCACAGGAGCATTTAGGATGGCGGCTTTCTACTGTTGAACTTTCTCAATACTTTTGAGCTCTGAATGATTTGGGCCACTAAGGGTGGCCTGCTTCAGATACCTTCCTGAGAGCTATCTGAAGCAGGGAAGGGCTGGAGATGTCAATGGGCGAAGCTGGGTGGTACCAGACATCCTGATTCAGAGGCCACTCATTCTTCCTGAGACCCGCTCAATGGGAGTGTCCATATTATGCGCCATCTTGAACAGACCAACCCAGACACCAGGAAACAACGTAACCAGCAAGCTCCCGAAGCCCTCTCCATGGCAGCCCCACATGACAGCTCAACTCCCACCTTTGAGGCATACTCACGATTTTCACAGTGCTGCCCGGTGTAGCCTGCCAGGCAGGCACATTTGTAGAATCCGGTTTGGTCCAGGAAACAAGTGCCATCATGGAAACAAGGGGACGAGGAACATGCTAAAAGAGAAAAGGCAATTTCTCTCAGTGCCGCTGTGTTGAGTCCATTTCTTCAAGCCTAGAGCCTTGACCAGAGACTTTCCCTTGTCTATTAAAGTGTTGTGATTTTTTTTTTACTCCTTTCATTGAATTCATGCTACCATTGTTTGGGAATGCCTAAAATAGGTACTCATTAACTGTCAAATGCTGCTGATGTTGTTTATATTTTCAAAGGCCCCAAAAGTTTGCTCCAGACATGTACAGTCTAAAGAGCCTAACTCCCACACAAACAGGCACACCCCATGACTGAAGCAGAAGCACGCTTTCATCCACCCATAGAGACTCCAGGGGAGAGACTCAGCCTTGGGTAGCTTTAGATCATCTTTTTCAAGGAAGCTCAGCATCTTGGGTACTGGGGGAAAGAAAGTGGAAGACACTCTTTACGACACTATTGAAAGCATACTCAAAATTTTCAAACATACATTCTACAAAAAGTAGTCCCTGCAGATTTTGAGAGTTGTGGGCTCAGATGTGGTGGGGAAACACCGCTGATGGAATGCGATAATTAGCGAGATCGCTCTCTGCACAACTTCTCGGAACGGTCCATGCCCTAAAAGGCATCGCGGATTTCTAAGAATGCACGTAAGGTTTCCACCTTTCCCAAGCTCGTGTGACCTCAAAATCTGTATTTTACAGTGTCTTAGGGACCATTTTTCCACAGCAAACACTTTTGAAAGCAGTGGTCTTCTCGTTATCCACCAATCCAACGTTCATTTGCCCCAGTGTATAAATACATCACAACATAATTCGACAAACCTATATTGAGTGCTCTGTGTAAGGCACCGGAAAGATACAAAGATGAACAGAGAGCCTACCTACCGGATCAAAGCTTTTTGAAGCGAAGTATACAATGACTATAACTTGAGGCATAATTCAGTTAGTGTCAGAAAAGAGAAGAAAGTGTTACAAGATGTTCAAAAAAGGGCAAAGCTACAGCCCCACTGGAACAAGAGAAAAGGTTTAGCAGAGGAGAAGTCTGATATGGCCCTGAAGTTTGGAATTTGATGTGCAGGGGTGGGGGGTGACTTTAGCCACAGGGAGTACCTTGAATACAGTGGACAGACGGGTGTTTGAAGAACAGTTAGTGCTACTGTATGCCTATCTGACAACACAGACCAGCGTTTCCCAACATTCTCCTGGGGAGGTTGAGTTGCCACTTTAGAGGAGGAAAAGACCCTCCTGACTCTCCCCTCGGTCACAGGATCACAAGCTGGTAAGCCGCCACTGCTCTTGCTGTCTGCCATAAATACCTACAGATGTATCTCGAGTGTGAGCCGCTCAGCCTCAGCCGGCAGGGTATCACCAAGGGGTGAGGATTCAGCCTCAGGCTGACCACTCCACAGCAGCAAAGCATTTAGAACTGGCCAGCCATGCCCAGGCCCTGCACAGCTCCCCATGGGCCACCCTCGCAAGAAGGCAGGCACACAGATTTTAAGGAGCAACTGCTGAGAGCTCACCTAGGAACATTCTAAGGGAGGGATAGGTTGGGGTGGGAGGGTCACTGCTGGTCTTGCTGAAAGGACAGGGCTGAAGAAAGACTGATGCCACTGCCACCCACCTCCCTTCCTGAGACTTTTGTATCATACCTTCCATAAGGGAACCTTAATGATTAAAGGGCCATTTCAATTTCTTTTTAAATTCAGTATTTTAACAAAATGAACCTGAGCTCATTTTGCAAAACCTGATGCAATCTAATCCCAGAACAAGGAGAGCTGGGTTGGGCCCTCAGGAATGAGCACTTCATTCATTTTGGTCAAATCCTACTTCCTAACATGAATGAGGCAGGAGGTGAAGTTGGGCTTAGAGTTACTCAGAAAGAAAGGGAATTTATCATTGTACTTTAAGACTTTTAATACCCATTTTGTCTCGAATCTGCATGCTTGCCTCCTTGTAATAACAAAGGGAGGCTCAGGACACGCTTGGCATAGGGCAGCTATTGAGAGCTTCCTAGGTACCAGATGCTGAGCTCAGTTCTTCATCTTTCTGTCTTCCAGAGCCTCCTTAATGGAGCAGGATCTATGATTATTCCCTTTTTCACTAATTAGGAAATTAGGCCCAGAGATACAGAAGAATTTACCCCAGGTCACATGGCTTAACTTGCAGGAGAGCCAAAGCTAACCATCTCAACCATGAGAGGCTCCTAGAGTAAGCTCCCCAGCCAGGCTGCTTGTGCATAAATCTCTGGTTCCACTCCCACAGCTGTGCGGCCTTGGATAAATAACCCAGCCTCTCTGTGCTCCAGCATTTGTACCAGGCAGATAATAACTCCTAGTTCTGGTTCTGAGGAGCATTTCTGAAACATACCTTGCTGTTTCTCTTCTCCTTCTCAATGTTCAAGTTCTTCTGAGAACTCATGCACTGGGTTTTAATAAGGCTGAGCGGAGAGGGGGATGGTACACAGAAGGGAGATGTCTGTCTGGAGCACAGCCACTAAATGCTACATTTGTCTCCATGGCGTTTACCTGTGATCTCCTCAAAAACAGCATGAAAGCCATCAAAATTCTTGGAGCCATCTGAATGGAAGAGGACGTGGAGTGAGGAGCCCATGCTTCGGATGGGAGCTGGTCGCTCGTTGCCACAGAAACGCTTGATGATCTGGCCATCATTGTTGTCCCCATCACGGACTTCAACATAGTCATACTGACACATGTAGTCGAACTCCAGGCTCAACATGACAAACCTGTGGGTGGAGAGGGTAACGGCAGGGAATAGGTGAGCTCTGGATAGTGCTGAAACCCCTGGGCAAGTTCAAGGCCAGATGATGAACAGGTCTCTGGACCGATCTGATAGGAAAATGGTCCTGGGGGACGTGCGGTCAGATGAATTTCCTTTAGTGGAGGGGTGTGTGCACATATACTGTGAGCACATGTGTGCACACGCAGAGCACGCCCAGGTGAAGGAATGCCACATTCCATGCAGAGGACCTCTGCATGTGCTGGCTCCTCCTCCAGGGGCACTTCTCCTCCCAGTCTGCATGGCTGGGTCCTTCCTATTCTCGGGGCAGCTTAAATACTCCCTCCTCAAAGAGGCTTCCCTGCCGAATCTTCCGAAAGGAGATCCCTTGTTTTCTTCATCACATGCACACAAATTTTCATTTCTCATTTTAATCTCCTTGACTTTGATAGTAGGCGTGTGTGTGTGTGTGTGTGTGTGTGTGTGTGTGTGCGCGCGTGCACGCACATGCCTCTCTCCTCCATCAGCCTACAAATTCCTTACAGGGAGAAGTAGATCATCTGTCTTATTCTGCTGTGCCTAACACAGTGCCTGGCATACAGAGATGCAAAGTAAGTGCTAAATAGATGACCGAATGGATATTATATTGTAATTTTACAAATAGAGAATGGAAAAAGCGTATGTTGTCTTACAAGACTAAGTAAAGGAAAAAACTGTGCACACGCTTCTGTTTGGTGAAAAGATCAGAAGAAAATTATCCTCTTGCTAACAATAATTCTTGCCCCAAAGAGAAGAAATAGTAGCACCATACCAGAATTTCAGAATTGAGAGAGATCTGATGAATGTGATTACCTAAAAGGGATCTTGAGTTTGGAAATATTGGGATAAATCAGATCAAAAAAGCAGTAAGGACCCTAAACTTCCAATTCGAAAAAACAAGAAAAGAGGCAGGCCACATGCTGGGACAAGATAGAAAAAATATTTTTCAGAAGACTCCCAAGGAATGCCTGTGCATCAAGTTCACAAACTATTTATCTGTACCTTCTCCCTCACAATTCTGGAGAAGTTGGAATAGACAGCAAAGCTCAGAACTGCCACCTGAAAAGTTTTTACCACTTGGGTAAAAACCTCAGGTCCCAGAATTGGAGAACACTGGACCAGAGGGACAATCAGTATATTTTAAATGCTCTTAAAGGTCTTACTAAAAAAGGAACCAATAACATTGTCACCAGTGTTTAACAAAATTTTTATTAAAAAAAAAAACAAACCTTTTGTAATAGAGTGTAATACCTATTAGTCACACTTTGGTTGACATCTAAGGACCTGACTTCCCATCCAGATGCCAACACTAACCTACTGTGGGCCTTGAGCGATCTGTTCCTTCTTGGGTTTGGGTATCTATGTCTGTAAACAGCAGGAAAGGGGACGAGGCCACCACCCCACAGAGATGCCAGCTTTTTTTTTCTGAACCAAAATATAAGACATTATAACTTGTATTTACATTTATACATTCATTCGTTTGTACATTTATTCAACACATTGGTGGCAGGCCTGCTCTGTGTCAGACGCTGTTCTTGGTGCTGAAAGCACAGCAGTGACCCAGCTAGACACTGCCTGCCCTCATGGAGACGAGTTCTGATGTGGAGGACAGGCAATAACCAAGGAAACCAGAAAACTAGGAAATTTTAGAGCATATTAAGTGCTATGAAAAAAACAAACCAGGTGAGGGCATAAAGAATGACTAAGGAGGGTAAGCTTTTTATACAACATGGTCAAGGAAGACTTCTCTGTGGACATGATATTTGGGCAGACACTTAAATGATGGAATTCAGCTAGCCAAGTGAAGATCATGGGGAAGAGCAGTGCAGGCTGGGGAGTCTGCAGGTGCAAAGACCCTGAGGCAGCAATGAGCTTGGCATGTTTGAGGAACCGAAAGGTCAGAGATGCTGCAAGGTGGTAAGTAAAACAGACAGGGGTATGAATTGAGGTCAGTGAGGAGACCAGGAGCCAGATCCTGTATGGTGAGAAGTCTGGATTTTACTCCAAGCTCGATAGGAAGCCACCGGAAGGTTTCGACAACAAAATAAGGACTGGATTTAGGATTTTAAAAGATCGCTCTAGTCACTTGGAAGAGAGCAGATTACAGAGCTGGCAAGAGTGGAAGCAGGAAAGCCAAGCGGGAGGCTGCGAGAGAATCCAGGTGAGATGTGGTGGTGGTTGGAAGTAGAATGGTGGCAATGCAGGCAGCTGTGGAGTGACTTCAGATTATTTTACAAAAACAGACTTTGTGGTACCCTGGCTGTGGTAGGTGATAGAAAAGGGGCGTCGGGGATGACTGCTCAGCTTTCGGGCTGAACACTGTACATATGCTCCAAAGTGTTTGCATCATTATTATTCACCCTGGCCAGCAGGTCCAGGTTCGACTAGAGGGAAAGAAATTTATTTCCAAGCCTCCCTGGGGCCCTTTCCTAGGCAGGTGATGTGCTTCTTGATCCCTCCCCACCACTATGGTGTGTGCCACATACTAATCCCGGCACTGGGGCACAGCAGGGAACAGTTCTCACAAAAAAGGACTCTCTTGTGTTACTTATCTATAATCAGAACAAAACTAGACCTACATTTTGGACTATGACATGAATTAGACATGAATTAGACATGAATTGTTGCCACAGAAGAAACAATTTACCTTCCACACAAGTGAGAGAATTGGTTAATTTGTTGCAGGGGTGATTGTTTCCTGAGCAGAGCAGGAGAAGCAGCTGTGAGGAGCACAAGCCCCAATCTAGAGTGTAAACTTTTGAATTCTTGACCTGTGCCTTTCATTTCTTCACTTCCTTCTCACAGAACCCAGCTCAGTACTGGGTGAACAGAAAGACACAGGTGGATTGCTCTCAGTACCTTGGGTCAAAATCATCGGAGCCCCACTGTTCTGGGCTGACAAGCATGTCACTGGTTGAAGTTTTAACCAGGCCATATCCCACCTGGAATCACCAAGTGGTAAAGAAAAAGGATCCAATATGCATTTTCGGCTTTTAAGGATAAAATGCTGACGGTTGGCCCTGAGTCACTAGGATCCAGGGCCCTGGTCCTGTTACTGTGTTTCGTCATAATCTCAGACTCCCTAAATCTTACCTCTGCCCCTTACCTTAGCTGGATGATAAACCCAGGCTTGGCATGAATGGTCCATTCGCAATGAGCATTTAGCGGGTAGCTCTCCAGTAAAATCTGTCCCTTCGAGGCTCGCATAACCTGGCCACATCCTAAGAAGAGAAGATTGGGGCATGGAAATTAGAGTCAATGGGAAAAGATGGTAGGTCTCTAAGAGCCTCTGATCTCATCCCACATCCCTGAGAACAGAATGGAGGAGATTACTATTTCTCAAGTGTTTGGCAATGTACTAGGCAGTTTACATAGCTGAATTCATTTAATCCACCCAACAGCTTAAAAAGGGAAGTGGTTTCATTCCAGTTTTCCAGCTAGGAAAATGGATAACCAGAGAGTTCAATAGCTTGCCTAGCTCCTAAGTGACAGAGCAGAGATTCAAACTTAACTGTGTCTGCATGTAAAGTCCAAGCCATTCTATCATCTTGCTTCTCCAGGGCTGCCATATGCCAGCCTGCCGCCTCTACCTTACAAGGCTCAGAAAGCAGACCTTCTCCACAGCTCTGTACAGGACATTGCTGCCTTTGTCTAGAGTCTACATCTGCACAAGACCATTTGGTCTGTACTCCCGGTACATTCTCTACCCCACAAATACAACCCCAAAGCAACTCTTTCCTGATCCCCCTTCATCCACTTAGAAAATTTACGTGTTCATTTGTTCTACGAGCAAATATATAATAAATGCCTCTCTAATGCATGACTCTGGAAGGGGACATGATCTCCAACCAGCTGGACTGGATTAGTGGGTTTCAATTTTCTTGTAGCTTCCAACCCTTTTTTCTCAAATTCTTATGAAGACCACCGATAAAAATATGGGTCCAAGGGGCCTTTGGTTGAAGCAGAAGCAGGGGCCCAGAGTCCTCCGTCTTCACTATCACCTTGGTCTCCTAAATTACCTACAGCAAATCCCAAATATCTGAAAAACATTGGACGGAGTCATCATTAAATTATATCATATTAAATAAGATATAATTTATACTAAAGCATAAGTGTGTAAGATATACTCTAGTTTTACAAAAGAGTTTGGGGGAAACGTCTTGAGCTGGTTTTATTAAAAAAATTTATCTGGGCCATGTATATAAACGATATTTTATACCAGAGTTGGCATTCTACGATCCACAAGCCAAAACCGGCCCACTGCCTGATCTAAAGTTTTAATGGAACAGAGCCATGCTCATTCGTTTACACTTTGTCTATAGTTGTTTTCAAGCTAACAACAGCAGAGTTGAGTAGTTACAAGAGACAGTATGACCCACAAAAGTGAAAATATTTAATGTCTCTTTTCAGGAAAAGTTTATTTAAGCCAGTTCTATACAGAAATCCAGCTTGACATCATAAACTCTGGATATGCAGTTATATTCAGCAACCCCGCCCCTCCCTCGCCTCTCAGAAAAAGAGTATAAATTCCTATTCCTGGGAAAAAAAATTCCTATCAGTGGATACTGCCGCACGGAAAGATGACGGCGGTAATAGTCCTACAGTGTTAGGAAAAGAGCCCAAACTCTGCTTTTGATAAGCTGTGAGGTCTGAGGCTTGTTACTTTTGTGAAAACTACTGCACTGCACATGTCATTTCTTCATTAGGATTTTTATTGCTGCTGCTCTTCTCTGCCAATGGGAAGCGTCATCCGTCATTTTCCATGTGTGACTCTTGTCTAGGCTCAGCCTCTGTCACCTCTCCCCACAATCCCAGCCACTTTGCTGGTCTCCTTGCATCCATCCTTGTCCCCCAATATTCGATTCTGCACACAGCAGCCAAAGCCAACTTTGAAATAAATGAGATCACATTACTCTCTTGATTCAACACTCCAAAGGCTGTCCATCATGCAAACACCTTCCTACGATGTTCACAGGCCTGCCCGACTGCCCAGACCGGCCCTCTGCCTGGTCTCCACAGCCACGCTTGCTCACGCTACTCCAGCCATACCAGCCTCCTTTCTGTTCCCAGCGCCGCTGCGTTTGCTGTTCCCTTAACCTAGAAGGCACACCTTCCTCCACATCTCCTTCCCTTGGGAATTAAGCTCAACTGCCACTTCCTCAAAGAGGCCTTTCTTAACCACCCAGCTAAAAGATTTTTGTGTTTCTACGGTCACTGTTGTCACTGTATTTTGTTTTCTTCATAATACACATCTGTATATGAAATCATCTAGGTTATTTGCTCACTCCCTTGGGTACAGCTGGGACCCTTTCTAGCTGGTACACTTAGAACGGAACCTGGCATATAACAGGTGCTCTGAAAATAGGTGTGGAATTAATAAATGATATTATTATAGGCCAGGCACTGGCTATAAGATTAATATTTTCTCATTTAATCCCCACAAGAAATCTAGAACCACCTCCATCTCCCTGTTTCCCAGATGCAGAACACTAAGGATGGGAGAAGTAGCTGACTTCTCCAGGGCCAGATGGTAGCAAATCAGAAGACTGTAAATCACTGTTTCAGGTATAAAGCCTTGGTTACGAATGGAGACTTCAGCATCCTACTGCCCTTGGTGTGAGAGAGGTTTACCTTCCCTGGCTGTGTGGCTTTGGGCAAGTTACTTCATCTCTCAGAACCTCAGTGAACCTGAGTCAAATGGGAATAAACCTGACACCTTCTTCATATGGTTTTGTGAGACTTGAATCAGATTATGCGCAGAAAGCCCTCAACAGAAAAATCAGTAATGTTAGCTGGTGCTAGTCAGTGGCAGAGCAAGGATTTGAACTTGGATCTGTCTAGTTTCAATGCTGGGTCTTGGCTGATACACTAAACTGTCTTAGGGGCTTCCTAACCCAGCCCTCTCCCACTCCATTTTGGAGCAGCAGGATTTTTCCATCCCCCCCTCCCAAAAAGATACATTGACTCTTTACCACTCCCCCTACTTTTTGGAGTGCACGTTCCTGCTTCCTGCACACCTCACATTCCTCATCACCCCCATCTGCCCATCTGCCGCCCAGCTACGGAAATGATACATTGGGTGTGAGAGACAGAAAAAGAAACCTTCCTGCACAGCCCGCGCCCCTCAGGGATGGGCAGCTTCCCAGCCTGCAAGGTGTTAAATCTCAGCTTCCCCAGCAAACTTCCTGCAGGGACCCCAGTCAGAACCAGCAGTGACTGCTGCCAGCTTGCTTCCGGTTTCTCCCATGCATATGCAAGCTGGATCACACAGCAGTGTCACGTCAATGGGGAGCCAATGCCACCCCCAGTCGGGTCTCCTTGGCAAGACCTTCCAGGTGTTGGTTGGGCAGCTCCAGGATCTCAGGCAGCCTCGGGACAGCTCAGAGCCCCCATCCCGACCCGGGCACTGGGCCCTGGCCTTGTGGGATGCTAGGCTACTTGTTCCTGCAGGCCCAGGGGCTGTCCCTGCAGAAGGAGCCAGATTCCAAAATGTGGGACATCTCGGTTCTTCATGATGTTTTCTTTCTCTCACTCTGGAAGGGAGGGCAGAGTCCCCCAAGATGGGGAACAATCCAACCAACCAGAGACAAAGAGGCCACTTCTCAGAAAGGTGCTCAGGGGGAAGGTTATTAGGCAGAGGAGGAAGGAGCCCCACTCCCTCCCCACATCAAGGGACACTGTCAGCTCCCTTTCCACTCATGCCTCCAGTTGGGGAGTGGGCGGACCTGGGTGCAGCGTGGACTAACTGCACCTCTCTGTCTAGGGCATAATAGTGAACACAGCCGAGTGTCCCCGCCAAGGAAGTACTGCTGGCCAACCAAGCAGGTGGTCCTGAGTCTGAATGACCAGGGCAGGCAATGGGCCCAGAAGACAGCGCTCAGATTCCCTAAAAATGTCTTGCTGCAGGAGAAAAGGAGAGAGAGAGAGAGAGAGAGTCTGTGTGTGTGTGTGTGTGTGTGTGTGTGTGTGTGTGTTTGTGTGTGTGTGTATACAAGTACTAAAAGACAAAACAGCAAAGGTAAGCTGGCTTTGAATAAAAGTATTTTGTGCTTCATTTACTAGACAGTGGGAGCTCATGGAAGGTTTCTAAGCAAGGAGTGATATAATTGGAATTGGGCTTTTAGAAGATCAACCTGGTGGGGGAAATTTGCCAGAGAAGCCAGACAGTCCACCGGTCTCTCAAATCCTGCAGTCATCTCCAACCCACTCGCCCACCCTTCCTCATTGCTACACGCCAAAACAGGAGAGAGAGCTGGATAGACCCTGCTTCCACAGAGCTGAAAGGAAATCTTATTAATCTGAACTAGTAAGAAAGCTGGAAGGTTCTCAACAAAAATGAACACCCCCAGCATTGAGACAGAAGTCTTGTTATCTCCAGCACTGGAGGGGCGGAGGCAGGAGAGAGATACAACATGGTTCTGAGAAGTGGTTGGGTTTTCTTTTTTAATCTGTAATCTTTCCTCTTAGGAAAAAAAAAAAGTACTAAAGAAAGCATTCAGACATAGAGAGGCATTTGCATTCTTTTTATCTTTTAAAGATGACTCACGAGGCAGGACTCCTAGTGGTTTAGGGACAGCCTATGAAGCTGAAGTCCAGTCAGAATCTCATTTCAGCCTTTTGACTATGTGACCAAACTCTCCAGATTCTGCCTCATTTGGAAATGAGACTAACGGTAGCACCTACAACCATGCTGGTACTATTTCCTTACTTGTTTAAGGATTAAATGAGATAGATATTGTACCTAAAGCACTTAACATAGTGTCTGGTACATAAAAATGCTCAGTAAATGGTAACTAATGTTATTTCTTTTGAGCCCTGTCAGGATCTGAGACACTATTCTGGCATTAGAATCACAGGGACAGCCCAGGCTCTGACCTCTGCTCTAGGGCCCCTAAGAGTCTCATTATATCATTGGCTAGAGCCCCAAACCCATTAGACCCAAGGGCCCAGGCAGTGGTGGCAGAACAAAGGTCTGGATGACGACATGGGAATGACCCACGTCCTGGGCCAAATCTTCCCAGAGGCAATCAGAGTGAGGACCTCAAATGTCTTTCACATCAAAAGGTGATTTAGTATAGAGGATAAGAGACTGGGCTTTAAGGTCCAGCTTCTGGCTCTGCCACTTATAAGCTGCCTGACAGTAGAAAAGTTACTTAGCTCTCTCTGTGCCTCAGTGTCCTCACCTGTAAAATGGCTGTGATGAGGATTAATGAGTTAGTAC